GACCTTTAAACTCTGCCAGCTCATATATTTAAGCATTAAGGACTTGGAGGGTAGTGACGAAGCGCTGATCCCTCAGGACTTGATTGATTGTCTCCAGCTACGGTCAACGAAATGAAATGTGTTTACGGTTTATTTACCACGAACATTAACAATGCGTCACCGACAAATGATTTCAGTGATATAAAGTAAAAGCTACTATTGGGCAGATATTTAAGTTATTGGCTTTTAGAGAGAAAACTGTGACAATTGGAATACGGTGACGGTCTCTCTTTAGAAAGCTGCTAATCTTTTATTTGGTGGTAGACATTACAGACAATATATCAAAGCCTTATTAATATTAAACAAACTGACCTTCTTGCCACTAAGTCACAGTACAGCTTTGATCATGGCGCCGCCAGAACAAAACCCCTAAATATGCGGTGACCTCAGGATTAACTGGTTCATCCCACTCAAGCCTCTTCAAGGTATGCGCAAATCTCATTGGTAAATATATCCAAATGGAAATATTTGACAACACTCTTTGCTCTTTGCTTGCTTTTAATGTTGCTACAGTGAACGAGACATTTAAGCCTCTTTAACTCAGTTAAGTTAGCTGTGCTAAGTCTGCAAACTCAACGCCTGCAAACCCTTCCCCACCAGGACATGATAATACTGCAGGATGAGACTAACTCTACAGTTCTGTTGGGTATTTGGAGAAATTTAAGAATAAGATATTACATAAAGGTTGCCGAATAATTACTTCCACTGTGGCGACACGGCAAACTTCTCTTTGTCCTTTGCATTCAAAACTTTACAAAGTTACAACGGTATTTGTATGAAGGCGTACTTCAAGTACCAGAAGCAAAAGTACACTAGTTGTACAAAATGGATTATTTTAAATGATGTTTTATGGTGGATACTACTTCATTATTAGGCTACATATTACTTCATATTATAGTTTATTTTTACATTTATATTTTGCATTAAGAATTTGAAGCTCCAAAGCAGTCAAACTAGTAGTCCATAAAATGGAAATATCAACAATTCCCTCAAAATTGTACTTAAGCGACGCACGTATTCCAGCGCCGTTTAAATAATGGCAGCAAAGTGCATCATTCCGGTCCAGCCCCCGTTTCTCTCCAACAGCACAAGATTACCGTAATTTAACCAGGTTCAACGATGGGATTTAGGCTGACGTCATGGGTGTTCTATACGTGACAATCTCATGCTGATTTACTACATGATTACAGGACGCACCTACACTTGACTTTGCGTCACCGTGAAAGAAGATGCCAACAGGGGCCCTGGTGCCGTGCAAGTGTCAGCCGTTTAACATCAAGATTGGCCCCAGTTGCTGCCGTGCGTCAACACAGCAATGAACACATGCTTACGGTGGTGGTGGGGTCGCCTGATGGGAGTGAGACTACAGGCGTCAACACCATGAATATTAATCCTGTGAGCAAAGGGAGAAAGAAATTGTCGTTGCCTGGAGGCTAAATGTTTGAGGAGGTCTCGTCCAGCCTGCGTGAGGGTTTTATATCTCAAAAACGTTCTCAAATTGTTCGTTGCTTTCCTCAATGCACAACCACTTTGCCAGTATTGCTAATCGGTCTGTTGAGGTGCGTGATAAAACTAAACTTCTGCGTCCTTCAAAATAAAGTACTGGTTATAATAATTTAGCTCAGTCTTGTTCATACAAATTCCAGTTATTTCCGAGGAGACCCACTATGTCACAGAGCCCACTGAACAAGGGCCACTTGTGAGTCCAGGCAGGCATTTGGGCAGAGTCATGTGAGGAAGATTGGCTCTTGGTAATGACCTTCGGTGTGAGAGAACGTTGACTCTCACTTCCCCAATCAGGTTAAGTTAGCTACGGAGATTTGTCCTAATATTTAGAAAATTTTTAAACACGTACCCAGTGACAGAGACAGAGCTAGATATGCAAATGGTTTAATCATAAATTAGTTATAAAAACCTAAACAAACACAAAAGAAATCCTGCTTCAGGAGTGACTTATAAAGTTAATATTCAACAAACAAATATTGTTCAATGTAATACATTTGATCAATAAATAAATCCAGTGGGTTGATTAAGAATCTCTAAAGGAAATGCTCTTTTTGATATATGAACATCACTCCATCGTAACAAATTTGTTGTAATTGGCACAAGTGACCTAAGTTGAATGGCATAATCCCTTTTTCCAATAAAGCTGAATAAATGAGACAACTAAGTGAGATGGACCTTTGCTGCGGCATTTCCACACATTAGTGTGCGGCTGAAGATCTGCAGGCACTGTGGTACAAGCTCAACTTTCCCTCCTGTTACGCGCCGCCGCGGTGATATAGAGTCAGCAGGTGGGAGAAAGCCGTGAGATGAGGAAAGTGAAGTAGAGAAAAAGTGAGAATTATGAGGCAATAAAGGTTAACCATGCTAAACTCATCCTCATGACTACAAGTATGTTTAAGTACAATTTACGCAAGTATTGTTATTCTTATTTAGCGAAGTATTCATCCCCTAAGTGAAAACTACAAATAAAGCCATATCATTTATTATTATTCATAATTATTTGCTTCTAGTTTCAAGATCTTTCTTGCCAGGGGCGTCAATTATTCTTTTAGTTTCATCCACGTGACTTTCACTGTTTTTTTTTTCCAGCGTAGAAGTGTTTCATGTTCCCAGCAGACACAGAAAACAGTGTATACGGACAACACGCCGTGTATGGATGTTTTTATGGCTTTTTAGCTGAAAAGCCATTCAACATGCTAAGGACTTTCTGAGATGTGCTTAAAAGTAATACTTTTTATATTTCTCATCCTGACCTCTTGTTATCTGTACAATCTATCTGTACTATTTATTGTACTGACTTTGGGGAAATATTATAATAATAATAATATATTAGCAGCCCCGATGAAACAAATTGTTTCCCCAATATGCTGATTTGCACAACGGATTAATTGTACACAAATGATATACGAAATGACTGCAACAGACACCGTGAAGGAAGGAACAACTACAGACATGTTTTGATATAATTTAAGAGCACAACTACTGAAATACTTCAGAGGTGTAACATTATCGGTGCAGAGGCCCTGACAGGTGCTGAGATGGCGCCCAATTACATCGACACTCTGCCTCAAACGGCACAAACAACCAGGTCATCGTTATTTACGCAAAAGGAGACAAAAGAAAACTGTAGGAGTGAAAGCGTTGGAGAAAAAAAAGAGAACAACCTGTTATAGTAGTTGTTTTTGTTTGATGGCAACTACTCCCCTGCACATATTTCATTACACTTTCATGGTCATATTTGTTGGGTTGTTTATTTCGATGGATATTTTTTTATCTAGTTTCTCTACGAGCAGCAACTTGTGCTGACTGTAAGGAATTTCTTATTAAGTAGTCTACAAAATACAAAAAAATATAATATAAAAATAAGGCTTGTTTAGTGACTTCAGTCAGGAATGATTCTTACATGTTTCATTGGCCTAAAATATTGGGCTATAAAAGACACTTGTGAGCAGAAGTTGATCAAAAACAACATAGATTTCGTGTATTTGGATCATTTCATTTCATGCTCAGGTGCATGGAGCTGCATTTGGGATTTATTGTTTTTTGGGCTTTTTTTATCTGCAAATATATTAGCAAAAGCATATAAACAAGGTTTACATGGCTCTGAGCAGTTACCTAAATAAAATAAATTACCAATTGAACCAGTACAAAATATTTCACAGAAGAAAAGTCATTGGCTGACATAAAATGTTAAAGAAGTCTGCTGGATATCAGGTGCATGAGTCCATCTGTAATTAGTGGATGATCTAAAATAAGCAGCAGATTGAAAATCTATGTACGGACTTCTGAACCCTTTTACATTGTTGCTATCAAGTAAATACATTAAATGTTGCCACAAAACCACACACACACTTTTCACACTCTGTATTTACTAATATTTATAATCACTCCTCGTGTCAAAGAAACATTAGATGAAGGAGTATCCGGCCTACAAGATAAAACACATGAAGAGAAAATGATTGAATTTCAAATGTAAGACAGTGTTGCTTCTGAACGGTGTGAAATCTGATATTCAATCTTTGAGGCAAATTACTCTAATTTAGATATTGATGCTAATTTATGAGGACAGGAAAGGCCCATTTGGTTCTCACTTAATGCTACAAAGTGTGAACACTTAACTTGAATCACTACGCAGCAGAGGAGACGGACTGCGAAGCTTTGACTCGTTTTCAGCCCTGATTTAAATTACGTCCCCGGACGGATTTTTGTTTTAGAGTCTTTAATTCTGAATTGACCTATTTACAGGAGAACTCACCACATAAAAAAAACCTGCGGGTGAAGATGCCAACCTTAAGATTGTTAACATAGCAACAAGTAACTAGCAACCCTTTTTAAATCCTAACGTGTCAACAGTAAAAAAGTTGTGATTGTAACAGTTTTGTATTCATATTGCTTGAAATTAACTTATATGTGTTATTCATATTTATTTTGATATGGTTTGATAGAGTGGCTTAAACTGTCAAATAGTGAGTTGTTTTACTAAGAATTGAAAGCCAATTAACATTTTGATGTTAAAATGCGCACAAAGTGCACACATAATTGTTCTATGAAAATTTGTGTATTATACAAACTGCTGCCGTAAGAGCCTTGTAACTTTATAGAAGATAACTCGGTCTGTATTTATTTATTTTTAAATTCAATGAAATACTCCTTTATAGGAAATACTGATACTCAGTTTTGAGACTTAATGCAGATAATACTTTTATTGATATATTATTCAGAGCTGACGCGCTGCGGGACATTTCAGGCTTCCGGACGTTCCAGCACAATTCCTCTTCCAGAAATACTTCCCACCACTACGGCTAATTTAAAAGTTACGGTGTAATTATGAACGCCCTCGCCCAAATCCCAGCGGAACAAATCCCTTTTTCACACAGCCATGTGACCCTCGGGCATGTTGCCGTATGTGTATCTGTATATGTACATCTTTGTGGCACACATTGACTTTCTCTTACCTCTGCAGGAGTTCCCCTGTTGTTTCGGGGGCGTATCCGCCACTTTGTCCTTTCCCCAACATTTTCGCGTGGGCTCCCTTGACGCTCTCCGTGCTGCTCGTCCGATCCCACGCTTGCTGCATGGCGAAACAAACTCCCTGGCAACACCTGCAGCCTCAACACCCCTAACTTCCCCAAACACCCCCCCACCCCACCCCAGCCCCCCCTCGAAAATAACTACCACGGTCCCAAGACGGCAATCGTGATGAGTCGACGCTCTCTGGCCCACTCTGATTTTCTCTCCCCTACTTGACGGACGGATGACAGAAAGGCCAGCAGGAAGGAAACGCAGGTCAGCGGGGGCTGAGCTGCTCCTGGCCGATGACAGCGGAGGCAGCAAAGCACCCCCTTTAGCCTCCCCCCTCGCCAGCCCTCTCTTTCCCCCCCGTCGTCCCCCAACGTTGCTCCTCCGAGACGTTCCCTCGCTGCCCCTCTTCTCTCCAGTGTGAGATGGAGGAAAACAGACCGGGGCCACTGCAAAAAGGCAAACAGGTGGCTGGTGGAGTGAAGTTTGGGACGGAACAACAGGAGAGGTGGGCTCAGGGGAGGACTGAAGGGGGGTGGGTGTGTATAAAGAGACCAACTGGGAGTCCCGGCTCGGGACACAACAACAGGGACAAGAGAGTCCCTCCTGCCACAACTGATTATCACCTCCACCGCCGCACACAGACACACAACCAGTGACACACGCGCCCAATGGAGGGATGCACTGGGGCTCTGGGGAATGCAAGTCGGTCACTCAGTAGGTGTCGGGATCAATTTAGTTGCTGAATCATCGCAGCCGGGCTCCGGGACACCATGTCGGATTACTCGCATTTTGTAGCGGTCCGGCTGTCTGAGGTTTCACATCTGTGAGCCAAGCGGTCGGGCAATAAATTACTGTCGGGGAAGGACGGTGCTGAGGGGGAGCCAGTCAGCGGTTCTTGGAGGATATTCTAGACGTCAAAGGGAAGAGACGTGATATGGCTTGGTGTGGTCAGATGGACTTTTAATTAGTTTGGTTAGATTGGGAGTTATTATTTGGCAGAGGGAGTCAATGTTATGACTAGACACAAAGGATCAGTCCCTCAGTCGGGGATGTTATTTACAGAAAGTGGAGCTGTGACCCTGAGAAGAAATCGCATGATTAGAAAACTTAAGGTCAGATCATTTGATAATTGAAAATATATATATATAGCAAGGATATATACTGAATCCAGCTGTTCACAAGACTGTTTGGTTATTTCGCTTTAACCTTGATAAAGTTGATTAAAAATCAATGAATGGATCTATTTGGTAAAAGGGGACGTGACGTAAAGACAACCCAACAACCAGTCGGTCACCAGCTGTAGAAACTATAAAAGGTGGTAAAACAGACGGCACTAATAAAGCAAGAGAGGATGTTTTCTCTCCATCCCCACAATGACTAAAGTCCAAACATTTCCACCACTGGGATACTCTCGCGGCGCATTGTGCGTTTGCAAGCACGTGCATACGTCCACGTGACCATTCGACACAACAATCTCGTCCCCCCACTTATTTTTGGCTCTGTGAGAAAGCAGATACCACTGTAGCATGAAGAGGCTTCTATAATGGTGTGCGTTTGAATCCAGCAGAGAATCACGTTGAGACTGAGCGCAGTGAGTCTCACTATCCTCAATTCAGGAAGCTCCTCCACAAAGGTCCTGGAAGGATGTTTCTCCACCATCATCTTTGAACGCTACGCTGTTGCCGCAGCAACTGAGGGAATGAAACCGTCTCGAAAATGAACGCCCACATTTTGTTTAAGATATTGTTGCACTAACCCAACATTTAAAAATGATCACAGTGACACGAATGTGAAAGAACATTTGTGTGTGTGGGCGAGTGTGTCCCTCTGAGCGCCGTCCAGCTCTGAACCATTGTGTTTTCTTTGTAGTCAATCAACCACCAAACCACCATTTCCCATAAATCACCAGCTGACATTAGCGCATTTGGGCGAACTGAGAACCTGCCGAGAAGTGATCCGTCATATCAGCGAAGCCGGCTGTGATTGAAAAGCAGAGTGATGAAAAGTACTTTTCGATGATCGAGAGTGGCAGCGAGAGGCCTCGCAGAGAACCGACCGGGGACAACGTGCGGAGGCCCGTGTCACGTCTTGCCGCGCCTCATGGAGACGAGCTACAGGCGCACAAAGGCTTTTCCTTTACGCTCCTCGTTTGTTCAGCATTCAGTGCTTTGATTTGTCTCAGTTGTTCATGGATGGGAGCAAGTATTGGTAGAAGAGTTGAGCTGGTTTGGTTGGTTTTAACTTTTATCGTTCCAGGGCCGCAGCCATTACCAGTAAATCAGGACGGTGTTCACGGAGTCTGTCGTTTTACGGGGGATGAAGGGAACGATGGTTTGTCCATCGGGCTGGCGGATGAAAATTGCAAAAAAAAAAAAAATAGCATCTCCATTATAATTTGAGACAATAATTCAGCGTAACAAAGACAACCATGAACTTTCACACCATTGGCCCGCTGCAGCTGAGTATGCCGCTGCGGAGCGCCGCATTCCCGTGAAAGGGGGGGAGCGTTGGTTTTGCAGCGGGTTTAAGCCGACATGTGTGAAGCCGCTACGCGGGCTTTGTTCTGTTAATTAGAGCCATTGGAATACTCAAACCTTCAGGCCCGGTAGAGGGACACCTGCGTGTTGAGAAGTGAGCGGGCGATGCTCGTATGTGACAAACCAAAGCTCACAAATCCATTCACCAACACGTGGGACACGCGTTCACGCGCACACACACACACACACACTGAAGGTCAATGTGCTTATGGCCGTTGCACGAGGAGAAGGTGTCTATTTCAGCAGGCCTCTTTTACAAGCGCACAAGCTATCACCTCGAACATGCTTTAGTGTTTATCTGAGTTTGGGTTTAAGCTCTTTAAGAAAACTCTTATCTAAAGGAGGAGCGAGGAGTATCTGTCTGACCGCCGCACATCTGGAGCTTATTGGAATTCCATCGACTGTAGTTCCCGTTATCAGGTAAAAGGAGCACTGCAATGCAATCATCTGAAGAAGTATACAGCTTTCAGACGGGTTAACAGTAAACTCTCCCCTTGGAGCTCATGTAACCGCTGAACAAGAGCTCATTGCTCCAGGTGTGCCGCTCCAGACCCGAGGAAGCGCAGCGTTGAGGGTGACGTTGTTTGTGCGGGGGCTTCTTGAGAAAGCTGAAAGCAGCGACGCTGGTCGTGAACGGCCACTGCAGTGCGCAGTGTTTTTAAAAGGCACATGTTTGTACTTTTTGCACTAATTTCCCATTGCAGGACAATAAAGTACATCTAAATTCTTAATTCAACAATAACATGCAGAACACTCAAATTGCAGAACGTGCAGCCAGCAAGACTAACAGTCAAAGCTGCTCCTCTTTGTGCTCTGCTGGTTATTGGCAGTATAAGAACTGGAGAGAAGTTATGACCAGCTAACAGCATTTGGCCAAGGATGCGGAGAACATATGACCTCATAAAACCAGCTTAAAAAAGGAATGAGGCACCAGCAATCACTGACAACAGCCTGTAAATTCCTTTGACAACAGTTGCATTTTTTTATTTTTTTTATTGTGGAACTAAATTTACACGGTGGTGCAACGGCGTGCCGCAGCGTTCGGAATAGCTTTCGTCCAATCGCCTTTCTGGCCCTACGGAGCAGGAAGAAAGCCAGTTTCAAACAGCCAAAATTAGAAGAACGTTTATGAACAGTTAATGTTTTTACAGACCTGAACGAACCCGACACCGATGCGTGTGGATGGATTCAGTAGCAGACCTGAGAGGCTTCTAACAGCTGACGTTATGAAAGAGTTTGTTAACATGCTCACGGTTTACAGACTTGAACTTGGATAAAGCTGAGGGGTCAGACTTGTAAAACAGATTCTGGTACACAAACTAACTAAACGTCCGACGTTTATAGGAATCAAACTGGGAATTTACAACTTCGATTGCCATAATTATCCTTTCAAGGCATAAGCGTGTGCATTTATCTTACTAAATTGACGTTTCTGTCAGGAATAAAAGATTATAGGATCGTAACAAAGTACTATTACTTGATTTGTATTTGGCGGTTTCCGGTTACAGTTTTAGTTACAAGGGATTTAATAAATGAAACCATCAAAGTGGGATCTGACTGTGAGCATTTCTATATACAGCGAGTCAACCACCTCGCTAATTCAGAGAAAATAACTTTCTGACAACTTTTAATCCTTAAAATAATAGCGCAACCAAAATTGCAAAAGATTATCAAACTGGGGCAGCTGGACTATGGTACCAATCGTTAATACGATTGACTGAGTAAAATACAGCTATAAATCTTGGAGGCAAAGAAAGGTAGAAATTTAGTTTTCAAAATACACACAACGAGTAACAAAACAAATTCATAATTGACACTAAAAAATATATATTTATCTATAATATAAATATCTTTAATATTAGTCCAATGTACTCATTAAGAAACTATTTGAGTTTGTTAAATTTTTCAATGTATTCCTAGTCTGTCAAAAGTCTCACGTCGATCATGAACCTCGGACTACTCCTTCAATTCAAGTGCAAAAACACCACAACAATGTGGCATGTGGTCGCTGTTTGTGTGTAATGTATTGTTGTAAAACAATATGAAGGAATTACTGTGTCTTGAAGAGCAAACATTGTGTTTCTGTTGGTTGAAAATCACTTTAAAGCAACACGGGTTGAACTAGGCAGGCTGAAAACCCTTGTAGATCACATAACAAGCTACCGAACCAGCGCTAATCTATCACGATCACATCGCACTTGAGACCAGACGCTCGGGTCACGTTGTGAGATCAGGGGCCACATCGGCTGGTAAACGTTGGTTCCACACAGTCTGAGCCGGGGCCTCCTGCAGGGGTTAATGTCCGCCTCTCGTAGTCAGCTGAGGAAACATTACTCTGAAAAGACAGAAACCCAGATATCGTTCTTTAATTTCAATGCTAAGTCAACATGACTAGCGACCATAATATACTAGCTCAATACTGGGTATAAATGCATGAAACGATCATCTCCATTTCAGCTTATTGAACTCCTACTAATTGCGTTGTGGTGTTGAATAAATGATATGAAGATAACAAATAAAAAAGGAAAAGGTTTGAGGAAACCTGACCACCGACCACTTTGGGGCTCCAGCTGAAGCTTTGGGAAAGCTCCACAGTTACACGTCCGTGATGGACAGGGAGACACGCAGAAGGATGACGGGCAGGCGGATCATCTGACGGAGCAAACAGGCCGGTGTGGAGACGACTTTGGAGGAGAGATTTTTTTTAAAAAGAGACAATCAGCCAGACGGTCCGGCCTGCAGAGCAGATGGACCTCCATGAAGTGCAAGGACAGAGCCAGTCTGTTCACAGCCCCCTGCCCTCCGCGGCCCCCCGCCTCCACCGCAGTAATAAACACCTGTTGGACAACAAATTAACTTGTTGACTGTTAAAAAAAATCAACAGGACAGTTTTATGCACGTTTTTTATGACAGGCAGCTACGGTAGCAAGTTTTAACTGTTCATTTACTGTGCTCCACATTCGGATACCAGAGGGCAGAAGGGCGAGCGGACGGTTGGAAAGACGTGGTGTTTATTGTGTGAGAACGGAGCGAAGACGAGATGCCAAGGAGGGAGGTTACATTACGCGGCAGAGGAAATACTATATGGGTGATAAGAGGAGTCCTCGCTGAAAAGCAAAACTTACACAGCCACTTATAATAACAGATGCAGCGGTAGAGTGTCATTCACAGTGTGTTATCTGCTATGATTTAGAATTCATTAATCAAGCTAGAGTTTTTTTGCTTAATCGGTGACGTATCACACTATTTAAACAGGCCATCTGATTAAATGAAAAGGGAGGATGGGTAAAAAGGTGGTTAAAACGTTACTACAGGTGAACTTAACAATGTAAACGCTCCTCGTCATCTTAAAGTGACCTAAAGGTGTGAAGGGCATAAGTTAGCTCAGCCATCCGCGAGGAGCTCGGAGTAGAGCCGCTGCTCCTTTGCGTCGAAAGGAGCCATTTGAGGTGGTTTTCGGCGTCAGGTGAGGATGCCCCCTGGGCGCCTCCCTAGGGGGCAGAGTTGAGAGCACAGCAAAGGGCACGAGGACAGCAGGAAGAGTTGCTGGTTCAACGTGTTTCACCAGGTGGAATTCTGCCTCCAAGATGATCAAATGTGTGTAGTTTTGTGTTTACCTGGATTACCAACAACAGTCCTTGGAGTCTAACGTAACAGGGTTACTCTCCACCAGCGTTTCTCCTCAAGAGGAGACCGACAACCGCCAGTTGGAAGCAGAACTGCAGAAGAATGAGAGGGATTCTCTGGCTGCCTTACAAAAGAGCCAAGAGAAGACCCACCAGATCCGACAGATGGAGGCTACCATCGCCAAAGGGAATCAGATCCTTATCGCCAGGATCCAAGATTTAGAGGACAACAAAACAGTCCTTGAGAACATCTGCCTCGACTTAAAAAAAAAAGAAAAGAGGCATTTTTGGGAGATGGATGCAAGACCGGGAGACGGAGATGGACAAAATGAGACACAAGATGCAGGACAAGGAGACAAAGAAATAAGAGAGAGAAGAGAAGAAAAAGTAGACCATCTAGGACGTTGTAGGATATTAGAAATAAACTGACGACCCGGTTCATAAAATGAATAAAATGCATATAGTGTACACCAGAATACAGCCATGATTCTGGAACTGTGTAATCAATAAAGTAATGACAATATTGTAAAACCACTGTAATTCTGCAACTGTAATAGAATAATACCAATGTACAGTTATGATTGTATTTGATGTAATGTAATTAACTGGAATGCATGCATGTAATACTTGCACAACAACTGATGTTGACTGAGGGCCATTCGACATCCGAGTTACAACTCACCAGAAGACCACTCCCAGAGGTGTGGACACTAACTTTCACACCTTTAAGCATTGTTATAAATACCTGTAGGAACCATTGTTCTGGAGTTCGCTGGTGGAGACGACAGACGGGCACTATGGGGGGTCAAAGGACTGACCTGAGGCCTGTTGGTTGCTGAGACCAGCGACTCCTCAGCTGAGATGTTCTTTTTACCACAACACCATCTATTTTATTAAATACATTTGATTTTAACCTTTCGATCTGCGATGCCCTCTGTCCGTCTGGCGTTTCTTCATTTTTGAACACAACTACATCAACGTGCCTGAGACTGGACACCTGTAAGAACACCTTCATCTACCACTCCGTCCTACCTCATCCATCTACCCCCTTCACAGCGCTCGTTTTTATATAGCATGCAAGGTCGATACATATGTCCCATTCATTTCCATTCATTCATTTCCTCAGACGCCGTGCTGTGCTACTTTCCAGCCAATTAAGTTGGAAAAAAACACTTACTGGAGCACAGGGAATGAAATATACAATATGTATACTGTAACCCGCCCTCCTCTCATAATAGCTGTTTTTTTCATAAATGACAACATGAACCACCAATCACGACCGTGAGATGTGTGTCCGCCCCGCCTCCTTCCAAGTGACAGGCGTCCATCTCGACTGACCCAGGTGTTTTCAAACCAGTAACCGCAGCTAACAGCGGTCGGTTTGTGAAGGAAAAAGCCTGTTTAAAATATTACAGTTAAGGATGGCTGGATTTCATTTAGCTATAGTTTTAGGGTCCTGGTACAACGCATTGATGGAAAGAGTCCTGAAGAACAAAAAGATATTTAAAAAAAGTTTTGCCTGTCTTGAAGTCAGGATATTGTTTTTGTCTAAATCGCTAAAAGAGTCTGTGATTAATACAAGTTGAAGATATTTCAATGTTTTCTTGTACGATATATAAAACATGGCAGTAGATAGCTTTTACACATAAGTGGCCTCTCAATACTATTTAATCGCAGTTTTCTTTCACAGCCTTCTGGTGCAGAACCTTATTACTTTTTAGTGTACTGTATTAGTGCGTCAAAAATGTTAATTTTTTTTAACATTATGTTGACGAGCAAAATGTGTCCACTGTGACAAAACGGGGCTGCATTTAATTTTAATGGGACAAAGAAAAAAACAACAACTTTTGATCACACACATGAGAGACGACAGATTTATGAAGGGGAATTGAAAGCAGTGGGAGATTGGTTGAGAGAACACGGCTGATCTTTCATCATCAGCTGACTTGGCGAGCAGGGTGGTTAATATCTGGCAGATGTGCTGGCAGGTCCGCAGGGAGGAGGTGTCACATGTCACATGTCACAGCCGGCGTGTTGGCAGCTCTTTTGACCAATTGACTGCGAGGTCAGCGCGGCTCAAATGTAACCTTAGCAGAAAGGCGGTGCGGGTGATCATAACCGTGCAGAAGGAAAGCGGAACATCAGAACTGGACCGATAAAGTGCAGAGAATGAATATCGTTATGTCCCCCACTGACCGCTTGCTTTTACAGGATTTTTTTATATGTGGTTTTGCCTGAGGTTGCAATGGGTCGAGTTACAAATTGGATACCACAATACAAACAATTGAACACCATGTTGTTCTGTATCCATTACAAAGTGATTTTGTATTTACTGGTGAATTTCCAGTAGCACACATCCAGAAAACTACTCGATGGCATCTGAAACCTTCCCAGCCGAAAAGGATGTTTGCTTAAGCTCATTTTGTCAAAATAGTGAGATTCAAAATAACTTCATCAACCACTGGCATTGAGAAAGGAACTGTGTACAGGAACATAAAGGTAAATGCTCCTTATATACACCAGAATAATGGACTGGTAGAGAAACTGGCAGAGCAATAACAGCTTGGGTGTGATACGAGGGGAGTTTTTTTTTCTTCTATTTTCATAAGTGTGAATATGTTGTGGAGGAAGCTGCAGGAGAGCAGCAGAGGAGAGCGTGATGTGAAGCAGCGCATACCAAGATACTTCAGGGCCGGCGAGCATCAAGCAAAATATACCAGTTACCTCCCTCCAGCAGCAGCCCGGTAAATGTATTTCTGCTTCAGGCGACGTCCAACGCTATAAAAGCGACGTGATGCGGCAGGTGGCAGCCGGTCCGAGACATCCAAGCGTCTGAGCGAAACGCCTCAGGAGGTCACCTTTCAGACAGGCGCTCACAGCAGGTCGGGAGTCACACTAGAGCGACCGCCTGAGGGAGGCGTGAGGGAGGCGTCACGACCGTCGATGCCGCTGACCTCGTGTTCGACGAGGCCCAGCGCCGGATCTAAGGCCGGGTGGCGTTTCCCTCATTTAGGCGCCGCAAGAATGTGTAGGATTAAATACAGGAACAGAGATGATTAAAATAAATGGGAAACAACCGTACAGAAATGAAAATAAAGTACAATATGTTTTGGCTTTATTGTTATATCTGTAAAAACAAATAAAAGAATCGTGCATTCAAAAGAATTCAGCAACAGAATTTTTGATTCATTTTCAAATAACATCCTCATACATCATCTATTGCCTCAAAAGTTACACATGCCGGGTGTTAGTGGCACAGCGCCACCTAGTGGTCTAAATAATTGGCACCACAGTTTGTTTTAAAATATTTTATTATTTTTATAAGTTTGCTTGTTACATGAAAATGAGCAAAAACATTTAGAAAGCGTGTAAAACTAGGTGCAACATACAAGTTTAATTCCAAACTAAATATCCAGAAAGGAAATAAAGAACAACACCACCACTACTTCAGTGACTTCAGGAGCCAAATACGTGTTCTCCCACCTGTCAATCACTTCAACACATCGACTGATGAAGTTCAGACAGCTGTGCTGGTTTCATAATGGATATCTAGTGTTATGGAATTAGAACTTTCATATACTTTTATTACCTAAAAAACCAGAAAATTACACAATAATAATTAAACATCCATGAAAAGGAACCACAACCTTTAAACATTTGACTCAATGTGGCTGGTTAGGCCAAATAAGCAACGAGTATGAAGAGTATAACATTACAGAAACCTCCGGGGCATCAAAGACTCTTTTACCAAGAGATCAGCATCTCCACCGAGCTTTCACAATCTAAGTCCTAACAAAACTCAACTGTACACAAGACCATTTGCTTCCTGAAATGGTCGTGGAGGTCTGAGACCGCTCATAACATCTCTGGCACGTCGCTTTCGAAATTGACGACAACCGAAACTCGGCTCCAAACTGCAGGTTTGCCAAAAAAAACACTAAACAGCACAAAATGTTTCACTCTCTTCCAGACCTCTCTAGAGGAAATGAGGATCTTTTATCAGTGTAAAAGCAATCCCACTTGTGTTAGTTGTCAGATCCAGCGCGGGGGACATGGCAATGTGGGAAAATGTGCCAAAACAAATGTCAAAAAGGATATTTCTCAAATAGCTTTATCGACTTGGAATGATGCCAATGGTAAACCTCAAATATGAGTTATTTCAAACACTATTTCCAATTTAACTCCAACTTTCGGCGATGGCGTTAGAAGCTCAGGAGTTGTCGTCTAATACAAAAGTCTAAATGAACAAAAGGAAAAGGCTGGGGGGCCGAGTGAGATATTTCCGTCTCCGGGGCCTGTTGTGGAAGGTTTGAAGCTTCGCAGTGCACCGTAGAGGAGGAGGAAGCGCTGAGAACCATTAACCATGGGTGGTGTCATCCTCCACAAAGTCTTTAGCCTGCTCCGCTGTGATCACATCAATGTGACTCACCTACACGCGCACAAACACACACACACACACAGTTAATGACCAATCAGTGGCCTATTTGAGACAAAGCAGTGACCATTTATGTGATTACAGCACAGAAGCACAAGGGGAAATGTTTGGTTCTCAATAAGTCAGTAACCTACACGTCGGGAAACGCACTGACAGGGACGTTCCCAATATGTGTTTATTTCATATCTAAAGAGCACGACTCTCGCAGTCCAATGACGACACACTGGCAGAGATTAGAACCGGTTCGTTTTTGGATTCTACAGCGATGACTCAAGAGCCTCAATACCAAACATCTCTGCAGCTGCATGTTCAATCAGATGTGCAGGAACACAGCAGGGGTGAAGTCAGCAAAGAGAACGGTATGTTTCTGAAGGGATTGATGCATGACTGTAAGGATTAGAAGGAGACGCACCTTGTTTCTGAATTTGACACCGTAGAACTTGTCCGCGGACTCCAGCAGCTCCGGCCTGAAGGTGGTGGTGATGAACTGGGCGTGGCCTGCGAGCTCCACGATCATGTCTGAAAGGAACACGGAAGACGAGGAGGAAAGAGAGCGTGACACCTTTTACATTTGCCAAAGAATGAAAACCTCAATATTCTGTAACGATCACTGGTTACATGTTTTTCTATTCTTTAATAAAACTGCCGCAACTGCCCTGATCACAGTTATTTACTGTGGGCCGGAGGTACTGATTGTATGAAGCGGGACAGATTTGGACCAGCAGAAGAAAAGGAAACCAACTTCAGACCACGTTGCCCGCGGCGCAGAGCTAAAGGTTTCCAGGCAGAACTCACGGTCCAACAACTACACAAAGCACGTTACCTGAGACGGCCTTCCTGTGCTGGGCATCGAGGGCCTGATCGATCTCATCAAACAAGTAGAAAGGAGCCGGGTCACACTTCTGGATGGCGAAGATCAGGGCCAGAGCCACCAGAGACTTCTGGCCTCCGGAGAGCTGCTGCATCTCCCTCATCTCGCCCTGCTTCCCCGTGAACGACACCTGCGCACAACGATTCCGTTAAAACATTCGGTTTCGGGACAGACGACCTCACGGATGAGCACGATGCTTCGATAGTGAGGCGCGTTCATTTAGCGGGGAGAGAATCGGGAAGCACGCATGGCACGGCAGCATCGTATAGCATTCTAAGCCAGTGATTGACGGGGGAGGAGCCTCTCACCCGTATGCCAACTCCAGTGAACTGGTCCACGGAGGGAACGCTGCTCTGGGAACCGGAGCCCCTCTCGCTGTCTCCGCCTCCCTCTCCCTCATCCTGGGACTGGCTGCCTTCGGCGTCGCCCTTCTTCATCACCAGAGTGGCTTTGCCCCCCGGGACCAGCTTCAGGAAAACCTCACTGAAGTTCTTTGACACCTAAGGGAAAGAAAACAATATCATGTTGACACATGTGCGTCTAAAGCGCCCATCAGATATTCGTCAACGGAGGGGAACAAACATTGAGTGAAATAATCAACCAAAGACGCATATTAACACTAATAACGTGCCCATAAAGCATCAACTATACGGTTTCCATGCAGGTTTCAACAGCTCAAGTAGTTAAACAACTACTTAAAATGTATTTAGTGATGATCTAAACAAAGGTCTGCCGGCCCGCGTACCTGTTTGAAGGTGAGCTGGATGGCCTCGTACTTGCGCAGCTCCAGGACGTTCATGAGCTCCATGATGGACTTGTGGCCGCGGTCCAACTCGTCCTGGCGCTTGATGAGCTTCTCTTTCTGCTCGGAGAAGTTGACGAACTGGTCCAGAGCTTTCTTGTTGACGTGGCTGTACTTCTTCAGCTCCGTGTTGCACTGCTCCAGTTTACGGAACAACTGTCAACAAAAAAAAAAAGAAAAGAAAAGGTGAATCATCATTGACTGCCGGATCCCTCGGTATCTTTAACTCAAAAAACATTTCTCCAATGTGGCTTTTGAGACCAAAAATAAGGAAATACATTTCATCTTATTCCATTCATATATTTGTAAAATGTGCTTTGTGTTTTCTTCAAAAGATTTTCCTGCTAATTTATTAATTTTCAGGTTTTATTTTCCACAACAAAAACCCAAGCTTACTAACTAAACTTATCCTACCTAATTATATAATGCTTAAAGACTTATTTAGAAGCATTTGTTTATTCAAAATGTATGCGCGCTTGATTTTAACATGAACATCTAAAGTTTTGGAAACTTCTGACATCCGAATTCATGTCAACATTTAGTTTTGTTGAGATTTTAGTTCTGCAAAGATAGAAAGTTGGCTCCATCTTGTCAGTATTAAAGTCCACTTGGACAGCGACCTAACTTCAGATGAACTCTTCGTTTCAGTTTTAAACGCATTCTAGTCATGTCTGAAGAAGAGCTGATTACGGAGCAGCTTAGTCTCCATCAGCCACAGACTCTCCAGCTATAAATTCATCCGTCTGAAACACGAGCAAGTGCCATTATTACCCGGCCCGCTCTCCCACTCCTGCAATCAGAGGCGCCATCGTTGAGTGTTTATGAGAAAGTGTGTGGCTATTTTTGGCATCTTCAAGGAGCGAAGAAACGATGCCGTCCACTCAACTGAGTCTCCCAGAGGCAGACGGTTATAAAAGAAAATGTTTAATATATACGCAAAGACAGCGTGCTAACCAGTGTCTGAGTCACTGGTGAGTGTGTGGGATGTGATGGACCGGAGACTTACTCCTTAGCAGAGCTGGCTCTGTCTAATGTGTGTGTGTGCGTGTACACACACTCATAGGCTTGATGCAGGTAGTGAGCATGGTTGGGCAGAAAAACTGACTGTCAGTAGATCATGGGTGTTATTGCTAATGCTCTTAGAACTGCGACTAACTTCCCTGTAGCTTCGCTTGGAAATACTCAAAATATTCATTTGCTACATTGTTGCTCTTATCTGTGTGTTAAACCAATATGGGTTATTTTGGTGTGACTGGAGGTATCGACCGTAGAAGTGTTGGCTTTCTCTCCCATATTATGGCACTATATGGCATTTTAAGCCCCAAACACACTGCAATGTTTCTTTCAAGAAATCATGACCCAGTTATTGGAGATAATCCACAGACCTTCTTATGAGCAGTTTAATGAAGGAACTGTGGTTGGAAGAAAATAAAAAAACCTGTCCTTTTATACATCTGAGGCCATTACATTAACTAACTGTGTGTGTGTGTGTGTGTGTGTGTGTGTGTGTGTACCTGTTTGAGTGTGAGGGTCTGGTACTTCTCAAAGGCCTCCTGAGGCAGCGAGCCGAGCTCCCTGATCTTCTTCATGCACTCCTCCTTCTTCTTGAGCAGCATGCCCTGCCTGTTGGTCATCTTCTCCAGCTCCTTGGTGTCATGGTTGATGGCGTCATTCTGCTCCTTCTCAATGTTCTTCCAGCGCTCCATGCTCTTTATGTGGTCCTTGATCTCCACCTCCGTCTTGTCAACCATAGTGTCCAGATCTGGGAAAGACGAGGAGGAGACGGTGGGTGATGAGTTGCATTCCAAATGAGACAGGAGTGCATGGATATGCAGAACATGCAGGAAAATGAAAATACAATAAAAAACAAAAAAATCTTCAATGTAAAAAAAATAACTATTTTAATTTAAAGCATTTATCAACATACTAAGGGTCAAGGCTATATTTACCACGTTGATAGTCCAAAAGACAACATCCAGTCATAACATTTGATCATTCTAAAATCCATTATTTTCACCTCGCTAAAAACGAGATTCAAATGTATAAAATAAATATATGCATCTTAGCTCTGATAGTTGAGGTGTTTAAATTTCCTTAATGTCAACGGGTAAACATAAATAAACAAAAACACTGATATAACACCGACTTCAGGACAAAGTCATGCTGTTAATATGTCTAATTTTAGTGACAGGGATTAAATAGGAATCCATTGAAATCCACCTGGTCCGAGTCACTCTGGAAGATGATAACCAGGTTTTCTACCAGACTGACCCCATCAGTCACTCACCATCTGCTGGTGGTACCGACGCATCAAGGACAGTCTACAGGTTCGGAATTTACATCCAACACTGCGCTTTGTTTTGTTGACTGATCGATATAAGGCTCCAAACCCAGATTACGACATTCAAACGGCTCATTACGTGTGTCTTGTTAGTGTAATGTGTGTGCCGTGATTTGGATGAACTGTCGGACATGGTATTTGGTTGAAGGGAAGCTCTGTGCAGCGTTTCAACCTTCCCGTCACACGTCCCCGCCCCTGTGTTGTGTCGTCGGTGCGGCGCGTACCGTCTGAGCGCGCCAGAGTATCCTTGACGCGTTTGTTGATGCCGTCCAGCTCCGATGTTGTGGCTGTGAGCACTGTGCCTCCCTCAGTCTCTCGCAGCTCATTCAGCTCCTGTGTCAACGCAAATAAGGCCACATCAAAAAAACAGGACAATGCTCCATTAGCAGCACAATTTCAGGACATTGTACTTTGGATCATCAACAGCTGCAAAACAAAAACCTTTCACGTGGTTATGCAAGTTTGTATAATTGACCTTACGTGCAAGAAACCCAAACTAATGTGCATTCACGCGTGATCCTGCAGGTAGAGCTGTAACGCGACTGAGGAGTGTGAAGGGACAGCGTACCTGCTCCACTTGGTCGAGGCGCTTACGCAAATTCTCGTTGAGATACGTTTCCACTCTGGTCATTATGCCCTCCAGCTTAATCCTCTCATTCAGCAGCTGTCTGTTGTCCTGTGGGTGGATAGAGGGGTCAATGCACAGAATACAATACAATACAAATGCATTTCACACACAGACTGCTTTGACAACAATAGCCACTTTTGCACAGAATTAAAAAGACTGAAAATTGTTAAATCTCCACGGCTGTGGTGAATAATGATCTGCGCGCGTGTGCATTCCATATTCATAAAAACTCATAACTCAAGTGTGATGTTTGTAGAATTTGACAACACTGCAGAACATGAAAGGCACGACATTGCAGGGGCGGAGTTGTTGCTCTACTGTAGCCGGGAGCTGGGTGGGAGGGGGGTGGGGGGCTGAGGGATCATTGAGGTGAGCGCTGAGTGCAGCTGGCGTTGAAAGAGAACAAGTAGAGAGAGGGGGGGTAGGGGGGGGGGACACTGGATAACAGGAACAACCCACACATAGATGCTGACCGCTACTCTCACCTCATTCAGGTCATTTGAGCACATCATGCAGGGAGGGGGAGCAGAGCAACAACTACACGTAGGTAACAAGATCAACGCACCACTCAGAAAGGAGTAAATCCACATGAATACATTGAATCAATTGTCGCTCCATATGACGGTGGACGATATGGCAAAAGATTTAGATCACAGTATATTTGGGGGGGTTTAGCATTGACCCTGTTAAACGTTTTTACATAAACGGAGAAGCAGCACACGTCTGTGGCCGAGCCTCCTACCAACCTGCTGCAGTTGACGGATCTCGTCGTTGAGGTCGTCGACGCGCCTCTGGTCCTCCAGGCTGAGCTGCGAGAGCAGATCTGTACCGAGCTCGGCCTTCAGCGACTCCCTAGTGGACTCCATGGCGTGCAGGCTGGCCTCCAGACTCTGGAGACTGCGTTGCTGGAAAGGAAGAGTCAGACATTAGTGGACCGCACGCCAGGCCGTGTGCAACTGACGACCTTGCTGTCGTGATCACCTTGGGCATGAAGGTTTTCTCTGACTGCTGCCTCTTCTCCTTCAGCATCTTCATCTCAGACAGAATACTGTCTCTGGATGCCTTAAACTTCCTCTGCTGTGTCTCGATCTGCTGCATCTGGTTCATCAGTTGGTCGATCTCATTGTTGATGCGTGCAGGCCACGATTAAGGAGGTACAAGCCAAAGATTATTACCGATGAGCAAGACACTAGCTTCTGTTTGTGACCCACTGGACTACATTCTACGGTCTACGTTATCTGTGTTGCCTTTCTCCACTAGTGTGAGTGAGGTCAATAATATTTATGTAGCCCAATATCTCAAATTCAGATAAGTGAATAGATAGCAAACATATGGAGAATGACTGCACATGGCTGTGCCTTTGCAGGACTCTGCCGAACCTGCATCATTTACTACAGTGCAAACAAAACTGGCATCAGGTCACCAATTGTCCTGAATGAACTGACTAAATCTCTATGCCGACCGCTTCAGCTCTCAGGACCAGAATATAACTCCTAGTAAATGGACTTGGATGCCTAGAAAAACACTTTCCGACGACTCAAACGCTTCAATCACTGTGTCACCGTTCACGCTCCACTGAGTCAGTCGCCCCACAATCACTTCCAATCACGTAACCACGGCAATGAGAGCTGAGACGGAGGCAAATTCTAGCAGAAGGGACGTGTGAGGGCTTCAGTGCCCCTTCATGCTTACCGACAGGGCAGAGGTGGCCAGTGGATAACAAGAGGCTTTGAATAATTGATCTGTGGTCTGACTCACCGCCGTGTCACCGGCTCAGTCACCCCCCCCCCGCCTACTCACACATGTGCGTAATCACCAGGTGCACCCATTGCGCAGCGCTGGCCGTGAGCAAGAAGCTGAATGCAATTACGCAGGTGTGCACACACACAGACACACATACACAATCATTCCCGGGGCGGAAGTGACCATATTCATAAACATAGGTCACACAAGGGAACTCAAATCCCCTTTTGATCCGCCCGTCCCGCTTTCATCGACTGGAGTGAGCCGACACAAACTAATCCTTCTTGACCCGCTTAAACCCTCTCGCTGCACCAGAGTCCGCCTCCTGCTGGCTGAGGTGGCTCCACAAGAGACACATTTAATCCACATCCAGAAGACATGTGGCATCGAAGTGTGAGTGAGCCACGGCTGTCCTGAGGGGGGGGGGGACCACTTCTCTCTGACATAGGAGCGTCTGCTGGTGGCCCATGAATTAATATGCTTCACTATCAACAGACAATGTGTGTCTTAAGACATATTTTCTTTAAGAAATGTATTTCTCCAGAATACCAATATCACAGGCAGCTTGTGGTTTTATACACTTCAACAATCTGGAGCTGCCCTTCAAAAAACATCTTTTAGTAAAAGATAATTGGAAAAAAGATTCCAGTAAAATAGGAGATTCTATCCCAAACCAACTTCATCTAGTTCTCATGAATAACAAATGTTTCACGGTGGATAGTGTTGGTTAAATCAAAACAGAGTAGTTTTAAAATGCAGAAACATATCTAGCGTCTCATACTTCCTGTGTACCCCATGCAGTGTTTCCCCTGCTACAATGGATACACAGTCATGGGATTAACTCCGACCTACTTACTGTATTCATACCACAACACATTTAGTTATATGGCTTCTCAATGTTCATTCTTACACTTGCATAAAGATGCATGAGTGCATTCACCGAACACTTCAACAATCGGCTGTGCCACAATTTTCTTTAATTAAACAAAGACAACACTGAAGTTATGGTTTCTGGAGCGGGTGGGGAACGAAGAGGAGTCGGCGCTCAGATTCCATACCAACGTTTGGTGATGGAAGACCAAACCAGAAATCTAGGTGTTGTGGTGGAATAGAGATGGAATGCCATTGCCACATTAAGACAATTACAAAGCAAGCCTATGATCGCCAAGACAATCAGCAAGCAGAATTGTCCATACATCGATTCTCAGTAGACTCGACTGCTTGTAAAATGTCTTCACATGCCTCCCTAAAAATAGTTAAGACAGCTCCTTTTGATTTAGAAAACCATCCAGTTTGGAGTCCATAAAGCATCCCTCCAGTTCTGATGTCTTCACACTGGCTACCTGCTTTCTAAAGAATGGATTTTAAAAACATTCTGCTCTTTGTTTGGCTACCATCCGGATCTGGAAGGTCGACGGGGGCGTTCTGCTTTCTGTCCCCAGAGTAACAACTAAACATGGAGAAGCATTGTTCTGTTCTTATGCAGCATGTATCTGGGACAAACTAACATAACTGCAGGTCAGCTGGAACTTTCTCTTCGTTTCGATTTAGGACAAAAGCTGCACAATGTAAGAACAAATTGTAGTAAATGGAAGTGTACTAATGGAAGAATCTGAATTGCATGACGCGGTTTTGATTGCACTAGTCCCAAAATCAACCAACAATGAGAGAATGAGATTTAATTTCCATTGAAACGCAGGTAGACTTCCGTTGTAAGTAATACTGCAACACGGTCTGCCTGCAGCAAATCTAGCTGTGCAGTCACGTGTTCTGACCTCCCAATGAAACCAGCGGGTTCCTGTGGCCACAAATGGATCTTGATGGGATGTAATTGAAAGGATATGTTCAATGTTCCGGCGCAGGTTCTCGTTGAGCTTGGCCTCCAGCTCCCCCAGCTCCTCCTCGGCCTTCCTCATGTCTTTCTGCAGCTCCAGGCGAGACTTTCTGGTGTCGTAGTAGCCTCCTGTCAGAGCTCCCCGGTGGCTGACCTGGTCACCTAGAAGGTCACAACGCAATGTAGTAATGGAGGAGGATTTTTACACAATATATAAATGTATTCCAGCATTAGCTGATGTTTTCAGGGATGCATCAGCAAGATACCCCCAAATACTGCTAATGCTGTCAATTTCAAATGTAATCAAGGGGCCAAAGGTAAGCTGTGTAGTTACCTACAAACTCTTTATACAGTACTGTCCATCAGGGGTTCTCTTACCCTCCAGAGTTATACAGTCCATAGTGAAAGCTCTGGCCAGCTGGGTGGAAACCTCCATGCTGCGACATATAAGAGTCTTCCCAAACACGTGCTTGAAGGCCTTGTCGAAGGTGTTGCTGTACCGCAGCTTGCTGATCATGGGGATGGCGTCCTGAAGGGGCGGAGACACTTTGGCATGAACAAAGTGGCGAACATGACACAAGAGCCGTGCACGGTAGTGGCACGCAGGCTCGGGTTGTCCTCGTGTCTCACGGGGCGATTAAGAGGATTAAGCATAATTACAGCAATGAATCAGATTTCTGTTTGTCCCTTACGTTGGTCTCTGGGTAGGCGGTGTCCCTGACGTCAAGCTTGGTCAGTGGCAGGAATGTGACTTCTCCAGGCAGGTTCATTTTGTTGAACTCCATCAGTATTTTGGTGCTGACCTCGTCAGTCTCCACAATGTGATAGAACAGTCTGGCAGACGGGAGGAAGCGTTAAGCAACAACAAAAGATTAAAATAGAGACACGATGTAGATGTTCGTCATTCTGCCCCTCTAACTATAAATCAAGGCTGAGTCATTGTGGACAGCAAATAGCTGTACCTCTTTTAAAATAGTGAAATATATACATCTGTTCCTATGAGTCTCCCCTGTTTGGTTGTGACATTATTAATTGGAAACAAAGCACAGAGCAAACTGAAGGCAGAAGGCCGTCCTCACCGGGTGCCAGCGGTCACCTCCACACAGGTGTAGAACGCAGGCTCACACTCAAAGTTGTTCATGACGATGCCGTGGTAACCGTTGATGACATGCTGGTTGATGCCCTTCCGACGGAAATGCTCCAGGACTTTGTTAATGCTGTCGATTCCGTTCAGAATAGCCTGGGTGACCACGGGCGAAGATGAAAGTCAACAGAGACTCACCATAAGCTACACAAAAGCTGTCATGTTGAACCGTTAAGATATAAAGAAAGCACAAGTACAAAAAAAAAAACCATACCAAGTCATTATCATAATGTTCTCACAAAGGGTGAGTTCTCTTCTCTGAAGTAAAATATAATAATTTGAGGATTTGTCAGAAGAAATAATATGCAGCAGTATGAATATTAGAAGGTGAGAGGAGTCCATCCTGTTGCACAGGATGAGTCAGCTGGGACCAATGATAGAAAAATAAAACGCAGGACATGAAGCCACAAACAGCCTCTGTTATTCACAGCAATGATATTTGATTGATGCTTCTGCCCAGAAGAAGCGACTGGCAGGTACTGGATGAGGACGCGAGCAGTGAGTCATGTGTAACTTTAGCTGGCAGTGATTAGGTGCCAGCAGCGAGGCAGATGAATGATTCCCCTTGATGTACCGGTCCTGACAACTGGCTGAGTCACAGAGCGAGTCCTTCTCGGGATTCAGGTGGCTCGCACAGACCACTTTGGGGTTTGATTGATCTTCACTCACTTAAAGTGTGAGCGTTTGCATGTTTTAAGACACTAGCCTGGTACCAAGTTTTCATCAAGGTCCATCAATCCTCTGACATTTCCATTTCTGTTACCAATCATCTTTCACTTTTTCCCCCCCAGAGGGAGTCGTTATGTATCACGTAGTCGCATGGCGGCAGTCAATAATCACGCAGTCGTGAACAGTGACACGGACCTTGCCGGTGGCCGCTCGGAGGAGCTGCTGTTTCTTCTCCAGGTCCTCCCGTTTGGCTGCCAGGGCCTGCTGCTCTGCGTTCTCCTCCCGCCACAGGTAGCTGGAGAGACACACACACACACGGTCACACACACACCGCCTCACTTATGTCACCGCAGAGACCAGAACCCGACCGCCGCCATAATGCTCACACAGGAAGAGGGAAAAATGAGCACACTGAAATCATCTTTTAGGAATCATACTGATGTGAATAATTTAGGAATATATACAAATCTTACAAACATAAGAGGCTATATTAATGGTATTCGCATTAAAAAAAAAACTTAATTAAATCTAATATTAAGTGAGTGTTCACCCCCTTGGATGACATTATTTCAAAAGATTTAGATTTTGACTCAACACTTAATTCGCGATAAATAATCACATTTAAATAATTAAAAGAATAAAACCGTGTCCTCCCGTTTCTATTAGGCTAATTTTGTTCACATTTTCAGATCATTCACTTCTAATAGCGTGCAGCTGTTGGTTCTGCACGTCCTCCAATCAAAGATGTCATTATGCTGCCTTTTCACCCACTGCAGAATAATGGATCACAGTGAACTGGAGGGTGGATTCAATACCACACAAACACTAGAACAGTACTACAATCTACTCCCTTTTATTTAGTGCTTGTCTAATATTTCATTTCATGCAATTTAATTTCGATCTTTAATTTCGATTTCTTTCGAAAAAACAAATAAAAACAATTTGCCTCGAGTTTGTCGTTTAATGGTTCTAAATGTGTCATGTTTCAGGAAGCAGCCGTCTTGACTAAAACAAGCCCTAAACACAAACCATCCACCCTGCAGGACGTGTTAAAAGCAAAAAGGCGTCTGGCAGCAGAGACCCGAGGCATCATCATCCTCACTGTCTCATTAATAAACCGGATTGTTTAATCGATCAGTGACGGCTCAGTGGAACCGAAAAGGTTGTTAAGCAGAAGGAACAAGTCAGGAATGAGTCACGTAAAGATTCAGCTGAATTAGGGCTGCACCCAATGTAAGGCATTTTCAATTCAAAGCTTCAATCAGGATTTTTGAATAAGTGTTGACGTTTTTTCCGTCATATTTTATAGCATAAGCATAAATTAAAATGTTAAATTGTAGAACAAGAGCCTCAATTTCAGGTAAGTGATTCCTCCGATAAACCTTTTTTTTTTTAATTGAATCAACTTTGTTTGATGAACATAACGCTTCAGTGCTGCCTCCTGTTGAGTGCAGCAAGCAAGGAAATCTGTACTAATCTAACTTTACAAATTCTTTAGTGGTCCATATATTGGAGTTTCAGTCTTTTGATTGCAGCTTCTGAAATGTAAATATATTAACTGGTTTGTTTTCACATGTTCTACAGCAAACTGAGACGCTTTAAATTATGGAAAAGAAAAAGAAAGATTGGAGCACGAGACACGGTGCAACTTTTACAATAGTCAAAGGTTAAATGTCCCTGAGCGCTGAGAGCGAAGGACGAGGTTCTTACTTTCTTTCGCTCTGCAGCTCGTCTTTCCTGTTCTTCACTTCATAATACTTTTTGTCCAGCTCCTCAACGCGGGTCTTCACTTCATTTAGATCTTGATCGAGTTTCTAAAAGAGACGAGTGGGAAGTGGATGAGATGAACTCGGCTGTCCAAAGGTTAAAGAGATGAAAGCATTAAGAGGAATTACATGAGGAGCAGTTGCATTTAACCTAATGTGACTTAACTTTAGCAAATCATCTAAAGACTAAAGCCCACAAAACCAACATGGTGTAATTAAGACAAAACAGGTTGTATCATCTCTAAAACATACATTGTACTGCTCAAGGTTCTTCTCCTTGCTGGTCTCCGTGTCCTCCAGGTCTTTGTGGATGGCTGCAATCTGCCTCTTTTTGTCGTTGATGGCCTGGTCCAGAGACTTCAACTCCTTCTTAATCCACTTGTCCCGCTCCTCTTTAGAGGTGAACTGGCTGCCGCGGCCCTGCTTGGCGTACAGGTCGGTCCTCTCCTGCGTGGCCTGGGCCAGTCTGGAGGGAGGCGGAAAGACAGAAGGAGACGCCATTCTCAGAACTAAGTTCACCAACAAGCCGTCTCAAGAGTGTTCGTTTCCCAACGAACTGTGCGCAGCAACATGCTCACAGACAATATCACTATCATACGTAAGTAAGATGGAGATTCAAAAAGGTTTGTTTGACAAACTACTTAGTAGGAAAATCTCCAAACGTGTGGCGTGCATCCACCTCAGTCTCTCGCTATCTCATTTGATTCAAAAATGGATGCATGACTCATCGAGGGACAACTGGTCATCGGCGGCTCGAGGGGCCCCGCTGAGGATGCGTCATTCCTACCTGGATATGCCCCGCTCCTCTTTCTCCTTCACCATGTTAAATTTTGGTTCGGTCTCCTGCAGCTCTTTTTGTTTCTCCTCGATTTTCTCCAGCAGCTTCTGCCGCTCCTTCAGCAGGCGTTTCTGAAAGAGCAAGGTTGGGGATTTTACAACAAATCTTAAACTATTACATTGGGATGGGCGCCCTGCACCCCTAGAAGGTCAAGTTCATTTTCTTTAGTTTTATTATTTATTTTATTTAGTAAGTAGCGCACAAAATTGGAAAGAAAGTTAGGTTCATTTAAGGTTACCTTAAGGTAAACCGCCATCACAACTGAAAAACAACCACCACTACTACATTGTGCTCATTTGGACACATTTATAATTAGAATGAATGAAAGACTAATGCAGAGGCCACGAGTCTTGGCGTTCTCATGGATCTCCCCAAAAAACCTGCTCGGTGGCTCCTAATTCTGACTTTTTTTTTTTCTTCCATCCCACAGGTTCTGTTCTCTTGTCTCAATGCCATCGTAATCAAAAATCATCAGCGGCTCATGACGGAATTCTGCTTCCCTTTTTATTTCGCTCCGAAAAGTCCTGGCTGCTGCTCCACCCGCCGCAGCCAGGTGGACTTAATCCAACCAACTGCCAGCATGCTGCCTGGAACCCATCATGGCCCCCACACACACACACACACACACACATACACACTCAGCCAATAAAGCCTTGATGTATGAATATCGTTCCTTGTGCTCGTATTGTGCACACAACCCAACACACAGCCATACGGAGAGCGATTGGTGCCAGCTCCATACACACAACTACCCGCCAATGATGTGCAGTGGAGCTGATGGCAAAGTGGAGTCTGATTCACAAGCAGGGGCCTCCTCAGAAGAAAAGTTCTTCTGAAAGATTCAGTGCTAAACCGGCCTCAACGGAATACAACAAGCCAAACCCGCTTCTCAATTCTTTGAAGACGCGAAGAGACACTTTTGTAAATTAAATATATATATATAATATTTTTTGGTCAAATGAAATAAAAACAAATGCTGGCCTTGAGTTTTCACAAACTGTGAGGCGTTACTGGCCATGTGTAGAGTGGGTGCTGAGCGAAACGGACTACCATCCTAATCTACATATAAGGGTGGTGCAGGGAAAGAGGGAGGTTGGAGAAGGGAGGGGGGGGGGGGTTGTTGTTGGCGGCAGAGCATCACGTGTGCAGAGTGACGCAGATGGGAGGCTTCCGTACCCTCTGTTCGCTGTTGCCTGCCAGCTCGTCCTGCAGGTCCTTGGTCTTCAGTTCAAGCTTGGTCCGCTGCTTGATCTGCTCCTGGCGCTCGGCCGACAGCTGCTCCCTTTCCTCCTTCATGGCGGAGATCTTGGACTTCAGTTCTCGCACAACGCGCTCCGTCTCCTACAGAAAGCGAGCCAAAACAAAGAAACAGGTTGTGAGATTTAAGTCCAGTAAAAACGTTATGTTACAAAAACGATGATTGTCTTCATTTGGCAGGCTGCCTCCGATAGGACATACAAACAAGTATCATGATGACCTCACGATGGGACTTTCTTTCTTTTTGAACATTGGAATCCTTTACCTCGACTTTGTCGCGGGCATCTTGCTGAGCGTCACGCAGCTGTCTGGATTTGTCTCCACAGGTCTCTCTCTTGCTGGAAAGCTAGAAAAAGAAACAGCCAATAAGTCTTGGTAATGAATGTGTATTCAGCGGAGGACAAAATGTTTTGGTGCACTGGCCACATGCTGGCTGAAACAAGGATGCCTCATTTTTCTACCCATTACCTTTCACTCTGTGCACACAAAGTAGTTTGTTTATCTTCAGTAGGTTACCTCATCCAGTTTGGCGCGGGTTTCATTCAGCTCCTGGTTGTAGATGGTGTACTCCAGGGCTCTTCTCATCTTGTCCCACTTCTGATACTGAGCCAGCTCCTCTTTCTCATCCTCCAGGGTGTGGAGACGCTCCTCAATGTACTTCAACAGCTCATTGATCTTCTCTCGCTTCCCCTCTGAGGAACACAAACACACACAGGGTTGTTTTTGAAAATCACCAATAACTGCACACTTAACTTCTTTGACTGGAATTGCTTGAATGGCTATAATTTCAGGACGAAAGCTGCATCGAGGCAAATCTTAACGCAGCAAGTCATCAATAACGGCATGTGAGATGATGATGTTCAGAAGTGGTTACCAGTCTCCTTCATGAGCGAAATGCTCTCCTCTTTGCGCTCATCATACACCCGAGTGCCGGCCACCTCTCTCAGCAGCTTCAGGCGCTGCGAGTCCGGCGCTGTGGCCATTTGGTTGATCTGCATAAACATTATAATTATAGCGCATGAGATGCAAAGCATTTTGTGTCGGCCGTTATGAGGAAATGATCCTTCAATAGTCCTCAAATCTCTGTGCGGTGAAAGCGATATTAAGATGCCAAGATGAAAGAAACTGCTGCGCCAAGATTTCACGTACATTAGGAACTCTTTTTACAGCTTGGCTTGAATACACCAAAGCATAACACAGTGAAATTAACTATTATGCTTTTAACAAGTGTGAGTGCACCCACTCCCTTCTTACCTTTCCCTGTTTGACGATGTAGTACGGGTTGCTGCGGGAGAAGCCAGCGCTCTCCAGAAGGTTCATGACGTCATTCTTACTGCAACAATCACCATCAGACAAACGATTACGTGGATTCACAGTGTCGTTATTTCCTAGGACTAAAGTCAAAGCCCACACACAGAGATACTTACGTAACCATCTTCTTGTCTAAGAAGTACTGGTCCTTCTTTGCGCCAATGACGCGGCGTAGGGAGACTTCCTCCTTGTCGATCTGAGGGAGAGAAAACGATCACCAGTGACGAGGACAATCGTAGACAGCAGCAGAATCAGGCAGAAATCCTTGGATTTGTAGACTTCTGCAAACATCCAACATTCATCATTACAGTAATAAGCCCTGTGTGTACTGAAGGCAGGGAGACAATAGAAGATGAACTCAACAACACAATGTAGTGATAACGTTCCATTTCTCCTGGAAAGGATGTTGGATGTTGTTTTAAAAAGGTGAAGGAAACATGGTACTTTTGCAACATGTATTGATGGACATTTAAGAGTCTTGGTACAAATCATGTTGGAAAGAAACTACCTGTTGGTCTACACTGACATTTTAATCGGGTGAATATGAAATGTTTGCATTTCCTACCGGAAGCCTGTTGTCAGAGTTGTCAAATATAATCTCCACAAAAGCCGAAATGACACGAGGACCAGTTCCCTCCTAGAGTGACGGGGGACAAAAAACACAACTTATTGTTTAAGAACATTTAATAATCCCCTTGGATGTTAAAATATCTTTAACATCTCTTACAGAAAGAATCACAGGTTTAACAGAAATGCAACTAGACTTTGGTTATCAGGAGAATACAAAATAATAAACATGTCGAACATGCAATTTCTACCCATCCACTGTGTGAGGGAACAATTCCCAAAGAGAAGCCATCAGCCTGTACTCACATGGAGCAGAGCCAGGCGCTGTTCAGGGCGCAGGTGACTGAACTCATCGCTGAGCACAAACTGGATGGCTAAAGAAGCAGAGCGGAGAAACAGCTTTATACAACAAAAATAACCAACATTAAACAGAAGAGACCTCGTTTAACTGCTGAGTGGTAACACTAATTATAGGAGACTTACCGTAGAAAAAGTTACTTTTTCCTGACCCATTTCTTCCAACTGTAACACACAGAAAACATACAGCGAGAACATGATGATTCGCGTAGACAGAGCGCGGTGTCTTCATCCAAAGTAAATACCTGTGCACCAACATGGTGAAAAGTTCGCCGCAGCGCGTACTCACCGATGACGTTGTGCTTTGGACTAAACGGGTCCACCACAGTTTGGTCCCTGTAACTTCGGAACCCCTGGATGATGACCTGCACAACGACGCAAGATCAGAAGATGGAACTTCACACGAGGAAGCGGAAAGTGACTTTGAGCCAGGCACGAGTTCTGAATGCAGCACTGCTCGTGTACAGCGCAGCGTCACACGCGACGTTATCGCCAACGGGGCCTTGACTCGCGGCTTCGCTCTGTGACACTTTTCATTGGAGGACCTCAACGAGTTTGCAAGTTTGCCAAAATCAACACAAACCCTTCGTTTGACAACTGCAATCATACCAAAAATCGTATTCACACACGATACATTCGAAATATTAATTAAACGCGGAACCAGAATAGCAAAGTAGCGTTAGCCAATAGATCCACAAACCTAGCGTTAGCCTCGTAGCGTTAGCTTAGCTTCCTGAGTGAGGGGGGGGGGTTGGCAATTCAACTCAAGATTAATTCAGGGCCGGTAGCCTTAAATAACTGTCTGTTTAAGTTATAGCGGTGTTTGGGGCGAGTTAGATTAGCTCGGCAATGTAATTCAAGTTAAAATGTGTGCACAACCTCAGTATACCTAACACAACCATTCAGAGGAATAACGTTAAGAGTCGGCAACACACGGACGTCAGGGGGCCGTTAGCTTACCTGTTTGATGTACATGGCGGTCTAAACAAGGGGTTTCCTCGGAAAACTTTGGAAATAAGCTCCCGTCTCCACTATACTGGAGCAGCCGGGGATTTAATAACCCAAACTTAGTAAAATAATAGAAATCGATGCATTAAAAATTGGTGGAACACTGTATGGGCTAAGAGAATAACATCGAAAATGGCGGCGGGGGCGGGATATGATGGAGCATACCATAATGTGAGGGAAAGGGTTGCAGCAATAGCCACATTACTAAATGACGTGTGGTAGATAAAATAACTATATACAATTAGACATTAAATATCTAAATGAGTTAATACAAATGTGTATTTACCCTTTAGTCTTATGCTTTTAAATGTAAATAACATGTTGGACACGTTTGCTATTTATTTACATCCCCATTTGTGAAGCTGGTACAGTTCATCTGCCTGTCTTCTAGGCGCCAAAGACAGAAAAGACTCGGTAGCACCGGAGGGTTTATAACAAGTGGTAAAACACGATGATAACAACTGATCGTTCTTCAAACTAAATGTTTCATTCTTGAATGTGCCTCGGTTCCTAACAACAAGTTCCACTGAGATTCTTCACCTGTGGCTGGATTTGATTTGTTTAGCCTTGTTTAGATTGCTCTGCGCTGCGGCGGGCGATGGAGGGCAGTCTGTGTCACTGCAGGTGTCACTGTTGTCTCTTCTGGTGGGTTTCGTACTGTCCCGGTTTATTGTTGGGAATCTTAAACATCCTGCATCCTGAAACCTGGATATACTTTCTAGATTACTCGGATAGAAACCTGTAAACTAGCACGCCGTTTCTCAATAAAGCTTTATGCCCACTTATTTGAAATGCTGTTATTTACAGTTATATCCCAATTACTGCAATTTCAGTTAGATATTTTCTAATTGAATTTGAGTATCAGTTTTGCAGCAGGTTTATCATTTCTAATGTAAACATATCCTGGATGAGAACTAAACCAGGAAAGGGATCAGAAATGTGTCTTGCTGTCCATTGTCTCATTGTTTTACTGTCCGATGTTGTGCACCAACATCCATGTAAAATTCCTTGTGTGTCAAACATAATTTGGCAATAAATGTTTCTGATTCCTGAAAAACAGCATGCTAATGTACATGCAAACACTCATGGATTTTTCCTCTGTCATGTTATTTGAGATGGTCCTCATGTAAATCACTCTCACTTGTAAATCTTGTTTGACTTCCTAGTTAGCCTGTACCTACACTACAATAATAACAACAACAATAAACATCACGCTGCAATGATAACGTGCCAAAAGAGATATATTTCTGTGGTGAAAACATTTATTAAACACATTTTAACATCCACGCTATTGAAAAAAATCAGACAGACAGACTGTAATTTTCAAATAAATTAGATTTAAATGCCCGACTGCTTTTGTGAATAGGCGTTAGTCACAATATCAACCTAAGGCATGTATATTGCAGTTCACCGCTGGGACGCGTTGTTTCATTTTAGCGGTTCAGAAGACAGGATAACAACATCAACGTCTACAAGTCCATAGTGTTCAAGTCTCATGAATACTATCATTCCGACTTTCCTGCTCTGCTGGTTCCAACACCACCGATATCGTTTCTCCTTTATTTCTCTTTTCAAGTAAGACTACAAGCAGTCGCAGTTCATTTTAAGGCAGTGCAGTTATCGGGCTCAGTTTGAACTGGTGGTGGACCGGGGACTGCAGGCAAGAGGTAGGGAGCGTGAACACGGATGGCTCAAAGTTTTTGGTGCTGAAGGTGGTGTTGAAGTCATTGGCAAAAAAGGAGGCGGACTCCTGTGCGCAGGGCGTGGCGGGCTCGGGTGTGGCGGCGTGAGCCGGGGCCGTGCAGAGGACCTCCGACTCGAACTGCAGCAGCTGACCCATGAAGCTGAAGTTGGGTGAGACGACCGCCCGGCGCTGCTTGATGATGTCGAAGGCCGCGTCCAGCCGCAGCTGCTGCGTCCTCATGATGTAGGCCATGCAGATGGTGGGGGAGCGGGAGATGCCTGCTTCGCAGTGGACCAGAACTTTACCCCCTGATTGCTTAACGTTATCTGGTGGGAGAGGAAGGAGGAGACGACGGGGGTTAATGATCTGTGGTGAGACGGTGGCACAGACTTTTTCTATTTGTGATGATCCACAAATGGATGTGAATCAAACCGTGCGTTCATTTTAGTTTTCTGTGTCTAATTGACGTTTGAAAAGTCAAGTTATGACGGCGAAGAGGCGGAAGCGACTCAACAGCGAGTCTGAAACAGTGAAAAGCCGTCAATGAAACACTACATTTTAATATTGAAATCATTGCCTGCCCTTCACTCCCACTCACTATTCAATGCAAACACTTTTCTGCACATCTGTAGTGTCTTCCCCTCTCACAAGCTCAACCCTGTCGGTGCCCTGGTTGGACGCTCACGGGCGCTTGTGAGTCAGTGTGCAAAGCTGTACATGATACTTGCTTTGTCCTCCACCGCTGTGGGGGCCGCGGGTGCTGCTGCTGCTGCAGAGCTCGCTCTGGCACAGCCTGTTCTCATTTGGAGCCTCGGCACTCCTACACGCCTTTCTGTTTGCTCTGATGCCCACACCGATATCTGCTTTCTGTCATCTGCACAAGAGTCACTCACGACTCATTTCGAGGTTTTGCAAACTCCTAAAACAACCGCAAAGACCTACACGTCTGCTTCACTGACTTTCTCGTGCGCAAATTCAATCCCCCCCACAGACACTGGGTTCCACTTCGGAGCCACACATGTGTTTACCTCTTTTTAGAGAGTAAATAGAGAAACTTCTGCCCGGTCCTGAGAGCCACTGCAGACAGCCTCTCCATAAACCGCATTAATGTTGCATGAACTTCCCATCTGAATTGGTGACGGATTTTCATAGGGGGGCTGCAGTTTGTTGATATTCATCACGTACACAGCTTTTGAAACCCCTTTAGGTGCCGTCCGTGAACTCAAACAATTACCGGCGATAATAGAGACCCTAAACGTGGGCTGCATCCCCCAAACAATCCACCATGCCAACAATAGCACCGCTGGCCGACACGGCTGCTGCTGGGAGTGCTTCGCCCTTGGTTGTGCCTGGCTATAAATAGCCAACAGCACACTATGTACATCTTCTGCTCCTGCTGCTGTTATTATCCAGCACCTCTCTCTCTCTCTCTCTCTCTCTCTCTCTCTCTCTCTCTCTCTCTCTCTCTCTCTCTCTCTCTCTCTCTCTCTCTCTCTCTCTCTCTCTCTCTCTCTCTCTCTCTCTCTCTCTCTCTCTCTCTCTCTCTCTCTCTCTCTCTCTCTCTCTCTCTCTCTCTCTCTCTCTCTCTCTCTCTCTCTCTCTCTCTCTGTAGCACATTCAATGGCTCGCGGACGTCAATGGTTCCCACCTGCAAGCAGCCACTAATGTATGCCCTCTCATTATGTGCCAGTCAGCTGGCTTTTATCCTCCACCCAACCATCATAAACAATGGTGTGTGTGTGTGTGTGTGCGTGTGTTTGTCAGTCAGCCCCCAAGCTCCACCCGACCATCACTAAACCCAGCTCACCCAGTTGTCACTCTGACTGGCCCCACCCGGCAGATTAAGCCACTGAGATTAGGCCCGGGAGGCGATGACGACATGGGAGTGTCTTTTTCTAGTCAAGATGGGGGAGGAAGGGAGAGAGGGATGAAGGAGGCCGTGGGATGGGAGGGGGGGGAGGGGGTGCGGAGTGCAAATCCTGAATGAATGAAGGCAGCCTGGATTCGCTGGTGCAGGATTGCAGGCAGGCGATCAAGTTAAAGTGATTACAGTTTATGGGCCTCTATTTGTGAACGGTGGCAGGTGAGAGGCTTTAGCATGGGAGGCGGGGGAGGGTTATTTGAGGACGCATTTAAAAAACAAATACGCCCACGGGGAGGCTACTTTGGGCGATGCTGCACTACATGTGTGTTTATTTCCTTCTAATTCTAGGAGCGTGAACCCTCTTGATGGCACAATTGTTTCGTTTCCTCCAACTCACCGATAAAATCGATGGCCTCCTGGAAGTGGGAGCTGATGTCGGCCATGTGGCTGTCCTCCACCGGGATCCACTTGTAGCGGTAGTGGCCCTTGGCCGGCTGCAGGTCCCTGCGCGACACGTTGAGCAAGGCTGTGATGTGAAGGTCGCTTAGGTAGTCCTGTCTGGAGGCGTGATAGGCACTACCGAGGTAGAGGAAAGGCAGGATCTCCACGGGTTTACCCTGAGAGGGAGCGGGAGAACCGGACGTCAGCGCATTCACAACATACAGAATACACGAGTGCTGATGCGACCATGAATAATGGACCCAATGCACCTGCTTTCATCCACCCATAATCCACCCCTGAGGAAACTGTTCAGAGCCACAACACACAAACAGCCGTCGAGGTGGACGAGAGATGGATATCCTCTATTGTGTAAGCCATTCATGTTAAATAACCCACAATATAGCGCTCTGCAGGATGTGAAGCAGCCACACGCTTTCTGTTTGGGCAGCGCAGAAAGGTCAGCGATGAAAGAGTGTTTTTGTCTGCGTGTGTCAGCTGGTCTCACATATATGATGCTTATGTTTTGATGCCAAATATAAGTCTCTCTGATGTCAGCAGGACTTGGGTGTGTGTACTTTGAAAAAAAACATACATTCGTGCATGAGAACAAATAAAAACTGGCACCGGATGCACGTGCGGCAGAGTAGGAAGTAGGCCTACTGCGCCACGAAGGGTGTTTCCGTACCTGATCGTAATCTGGTTTGCGGTGAGAAAGCTTCTCGCCGTTGCTGTTGACTCTTTTCTCGGTTTCAGTCACGCTCTGGTCGATGGTTTTCACCTCGGTGCAAAGTTCAGGGTATTGAGAGTGGAAACTCTCGTATCCTCCTGAGAGAAGAGGAAGGAAACCCGTAATCACCCACTGAAATAAAGAAGCTTACAACAATTCTGAATTCTGCCAATTTCTGCACACACACACACACACACACACAGGCAGCCTAAACGTCTTGTGAAATTGCAGCGTTTGTGAAGCATTTATAACCTGATTATAAGCGCCTAATTAGTGAATTACTGAAGCCTCCAGTGGAAAGACCGGTAATCCTTTTAACACCCCGGAGGTGAAAGACGGAAATAGAGGTGTTTCAACACCTTACCACAAACAATGGCGGGTTTTGTGGAGGGTCAGGTTGGGGTTTTCTTGCCAATCGGGTAGTTTTTGTTTTCAATGCGTTTCTCCCGCACTGACTCACGCGCCGCGTTGACGCACGCGGGACATTCGTCTCCCCCAGAGAGGGAGAGAAGAATGTAAGCAGCGCTTGACACGGACGAGAGGGACAACGCATCTGGATTATAAAAAGGACAGGTGAAATAAAACGGGAGGGACGTGCATTTACGCCGCCGAAATATAAATCGATTTTTTTTGGTATTTAATAGAGAATCCAAAAAAATAATTTGGTCAAGCCTCGCGGACGGCAGTTAATAAAAAGCAAAAAATACAAAGAATATTAAAGCTGTAAATCACCGTACTGGCTTTCCTATAAAATTCACCTCCAACATATTCTTGAAGAAAACGACAACCGGATGCGTTCCGCGTTTAAAGGCAGCTTAATGTCACGAGGCTCTCACCTTTGAGGAAACAGATGTTCGCCCCGCTCGCCAGATGAGAAAGAGTGTTTATTACTATTTGCGCCACGCTGTCCTTTTTCAGTTTCTGCCAGTGGGACGTCCGGTCATCCAGAGCAATGATTGCCGATATGCTGCCCTCCCGCAGCCGGAGCAGGGAGCGCTCGTCCGGGATGACAAAGTGCAGCGGCACCGGCCCTCCTCGGGACCTCCGCACCACCACGGAGTTGAGATTGACATTGACGGAGCCTCTGATGTTGGAGTCGGCGAACGAGAGATACGGTCTGCAGTCCACCACCAGGCAGCTGCCGCTCTCCTTCCGGATGACTTTCCTCAGATGGCGGCAGTCTACGCTGGATACCTTCATGTTGACGCCGAGCGGTGGAGCTTATTGCAGTGAAGAAGTACGAGTCGAGTAGTCCCGTGCGCGTCTGTGGCTACATGTCCTCTGAGGGGATTCCGGCCAATCGGTTTTATGTGAATGAGACCTCCGGCGCGTGACGTCACGACCCATACATGGACACCGGTGAGGCGGGATCGCAGCGAGGCGCCCCGCCCACAGGCATGACTGGGCTGTGGCTCCGCCCCTAAGAGCCCTGGAGCCGCAGTGTGTTTGATTGAAGAAGAACTCGCTGTCTCACTGTCCCTCAACTCCTCCAAATCCTGATTAAAGACTTTGTTTGCTGCTGCCCTTAGTTGACAACTTCTGGGTTTCTGTATCTTGGTATGTTAAATGTTATTCTATTTCTTCAATTTTGAACCTGTTTTAAATCTCCTTGCTTCATTTTTGGATGTTTTTAATGGTTTTATGTGAAGCATTTTGAAATCCCCCGCATTGAGATGCGATATACAAATAAAATCGCCTCGCCTTACTGCACATCAGTCGTTTCATTTTTTTTTTAGCTCCCAACTGACAGCCAGAGTGCTTTGATAAGACAGCAAAATCTGCTGGGCATCCCCTGGACAAAAAGTAAAAAGGATGTTTTTGGATGCTTTCAAACACGAAAGGCTCAAAGACAACATGTAGCAGAGATACTGTGAATTACAAAGAAGAGTCTAACACAAATTCACAACCAGAAGGACGTGTTCCATGAATATAATAGGGATAACATATGAAATGAGACCAAAATGAACCCACACAAATTTAAACAGCAAATGTAAAAAAAAACATGGATCCCCTGAAAAACTAACATCTCTTCCAAAAACACCAAAAAGAAGGATAGAACAGCAGATACAAATGCCATATATTTTCTGCACTCAAAATAATGAATAGTTGCATAAATCATCCTGTAGGATTTTCGTCTTTTTCATTTGATTTAAACACTACTTAAAATGTACGTATTACCATTCCAATAAGCATAAGTCAGCCAATTGTAAAACAATTTAATTAGTGAGTTAAAACACATTTATAGTTTGAATAAGTTTAACTGGAAAACTTATTAGCTAATGAGAAATGAGATTCATTTACATACATATTTGGGGGAAATGGAACGGTTCAGAAGAGGAAGTGACATCAGACGTCTCTCGGCCATCTTATCTCAGAGCAACATGTAACGTGATGGTGAATCTTCTGTCATCTTCAATAATTTGCCTGTTATCGATGTATGTACATGTTTTATGGCTGCAGATCAAATCAAATCAAACCATTATGGATACTAGCGTGCCAACCTACATGTGTTGAAATAATTATTAACTTGTAGTGAATGTGTGACTTTGTGAAAAAGCCATTTTGTTTTCCAAATAACAAACCAATAAATAGTTCATGTGAAAAATGTTGTCTGATAATAATAATAATAATAATGTAGTAGGTACATAAATAAGTGTGGGGTAAACAGATTCAAAGATTTTGGCATAATTATCGAAATACAGGGTTTTATTAAAATACAGCAAGTCAATTGTGTGTATTTATAACTTAATTGATTTTATCGAACATAACGTGCTTACTACGAATATAAAACTAATTAATACTGGACACATAAACCTGGTTATAAATATATTACAAATTTGATTTGTTTACGGTAAATGCATTCATTTTAAAACCCATCAGGTAGATTCATATTTTTTACAATAGTTTGCATTCTTACTTGTTTCAATAATGTTTGACTAGCAAATGTATTAGTTTGGTGAAATTAAAACTGCCATCCAAATTATGGAACATTTGAATGCAAATCAAATATGTAAATCTTAATTATTAGCCCTAAACATTTCTGTGAGTGTGTTCACATAGTAGGTATCACACTCTGAGTACTATGAATCCCTACAGGTGTTTTATTTGTTGAGGCTACTTGTGGCTAATCTTGCATGTAGCATTCACGGGGACTTTTAGGGACAGCTGCTGCTGACCACGAGCAGCTGACAAAAGCAACCTCTGACTTCCACCGCTCATGTACAACCTGCTTTATATTCCTCAGCGTGTAAGCCTAATCCCCCAAATTAATTAACAGGTTTAAACGATGCACAGCATGTTCCACCATGACGTGAACTCAGTCCTAACACACAGTGAATCACCTCACATAACCTTTTACTAGGAAGCGAAAATGTTGACCCATTACTTTAGATAGATCCTGATCCGACCTGAACTTAACCAAAGCTCATGAGGATTTGACCAGTGTTCATGTGAATCTGTTCATGTGGGCTTTATTTGTAAAGTTCCTCGCCCATGCTTAAAATGTAGCCTAAACATAGTGAAAACAAGAGGCACTGAAAGCGAATGAGTCCAACAAATAATGTGTTACATCATCTTGTTTATGCTTGTGAATGATCAAAAGAGCAAAACAAAGTATGTGTGTGTTTGTGTGTGAGGGGGTTGGTGGGGGTTGAGGGGGGGTGGAGGGCCTATCCAGACAAACACAGTGACAGCCACAGATGACAAGAGACCAGACAAAAGAAAAAATACCGAAAAACAGGCAGAAAGATCGGTGGAGATATCTGTGGATGGTGGCTGAGGATTAAAGGGACAGCAGGCAAACGGCCATGTGGTCCAACCTAATCTGCACTGCACATCATGGCCAATGAGCGGGGGGGGGACCACCCTCCGTTTCCAAGCCCTCGTTTAATTATGGGGTTTGTTCGTGTCAGCTGTAAATAACAACAGTGGACCCAGATGAGGCAGATCAACAAAATGCTCATCCAACGTTTATTTCTAAATATATTTTTGGTTTTTCTCTCTCTTCTTCCCCTCCCTGTCCTACTACGAATGGGTCGAGCCCACACGCGTCTCTCCAACAGGATCGCCTCAGTATATCAGAGGCTCGGGAGTATCGCTAATATGTTTAGTAAGGAGGCAAGCGGTTTTCAAACCAGAGGGCTGCTGGCAGTGCTGTGGTCAGCTGCTCCCCTATCAGGACCGTAGTCTCGTGCATGACTGTGTCAAACCCAGTGTGTCAAACGCACTGTGTCAAACCCAGTGTGTCAAACGCACTGTGTCAAACCCAGTGTGTCTCTGTGTGAGGAGTTACTCAACAGGTCAATTTGTGGGTATAATGAATATCTTTGTGTCTTGGACTGAGGTCTGTATGGGCTCTGGGAAGCTGTCAGAACGATGGCCGTTTGCTGTCATTCTGTCTAAATTAATTGAAAAATTGGTAGATTAATGAGTGATCAAAATAATAATAAGAATTATAATGCTGGGCTGCAGCAAAAAGGGAAGAAAGTCCTGTTAAACATGTGAGTCTCATGCCATCACGCTATAGATTCAGGTGAAATAAAAATGGTATTCTTTTTTTTCTCTAATGTTAGCCACCAAAACTTTAATAACACATAAAAATCCTTCAGAGATAACTGCTGAGGATATCACCATTCTGTGGGATTATATGCAACATATATGAATTCTGTGTCCTAATGATCTTTCTTAATGATTATTATCTTATTCAAAACATCACTGCCTGTTGTTGTCACCGGCGCTCCCCATCACTGCAGCACCAGATGAGACTTCTTCCTCCTCAATGGGAATAACGACACCGGCATACTGGATGAGTTTGGCAATGTTCACAAAGTAGATTTAGATCAATGACATGTGATGACAACTGCTTGTAGAGTTGCACTATGGTGAAATGTTGCTGTCTAGTTGAAGTTTGGTTCAATTGACTTAATTTGTCCATTTCCGAGGTTGTGCAATATCCTTCTATTTTTATTGTTGAAATACTCAAATTTTAACTATCAATGACTCACAAAACAGAAACTCAAGTCGCGAGCAGTTTTCTGTTTCACATATAATAGATCTCTCGCTGTTTCATACTGGAACACCGATCCAAAATGGTGGATCGTGACAGAACCACTCTTTAACTCTTTCATTCTAACTGTGCTAGTATGTGTCAAACTTCAATCTAATGTTCTTTTATTTTCATGACACATTTGGCCAGTTGTTTGCAAAAGAGAAAAAACAGTAAGAACAATGTAAAAAAACAGTTTCTTTATTTGCCGATAGAATAGTTCATGTAACTCGTGTCACAGGACTTGTAGTATTTGCAGCAGACAATTACTGCTCACCAAACTGCATTAGCTTTGGTATGTGAGTGCGTCATAACACTTCCTGCCCAGAATGTCCCTTTTTTCCATGTGACTTATAAAAAGCTCTAAAACACAATAGGTTGCCTTCATTGGGACATGTGCCGCCCCCTCCCTCCGACTCGCTCCCCCCTCAGCAGCCCAGGTGTTTCCTGATTTGCTGACTGAGCGTCCACATGATGACACTGTGTTCTAACAAGGCCCACATTACTCACCTCAGTGTGCGCTGGTCCGTGTCCCCTAGACTTCACTCTTGTCTTAAAAGTATTGAAAATACATCACCGAGCCGCGTGGTGACACTGGGTGACACAATCCTCCATTACCATAAACATGGACCCTATTGGTTTTAAGTCCTATTCCCACGCAATGTGATAACATTATATTAAAAATGTAAATGTCCCCTTATATGAAGAGATCAGCGTTTAGTCTTTTAATACAGAGCTGTGACAGAATATAGGAGAGGTAACAGATAATACAGTGTAACTCACAAAAATGGATACCTCAAGACAAGGATTAGTAGTACTTCAGGAAGCGCCGATGGCGAGCAGTCCCACACGGGTCCTTGCTAATGTTTATGAGTGGAGACAGCAACAACAAACGTCAGCATGGTGAGCGCTCACATCGCGTTGCATCCAAAGCACAAGTCAACCTGCCAGAATCTACGAGGATCCGAAATACTTTATAATATTTGGCATTCGAGAGTTCAAGCCATGATATGACAGCGCCGATGACACACGCTGAGCACACACTCAGACAGTCACACATAGGCGCGCACACACACACACAAGACGCGCCAGAGGCTTGACTCACCGCACGATTCCCACCCACAGCCCACTGTCATGTCAGGACTCCTGGAGGCAAACTCTAGGGCGAGACAGAAAGAGAGAGAGAGAGAGAGAGAGACAACTCACTCGAGTAGTTGTTGGAAAGACAAGTCGAGGCCGCGGGTGGTGATGAATGCGGCTTGGCCTGGTTTGCGCCGCAGGGGGCCGGGGGAATTCATGGTGGAGCGCGAGGC